ATTAATATATTAAATAGCAGCAACAAAAATTTGGTTCTCCTCTTTTCATCATATCAAAGCAGCAGCGTAGTATCTGCTAATATAGCTACTAAGCATGCTCAAGATAGATTAACTATTCTGTTGTAGCTTTTAATCGATTTGAAAGCGTTGATCAAAATCTCCATAATAGACATAACATCGTATATTAAAAGAAATAGTTGTTTTAACCAAGTAATTACCTTGCAACTATAGGGATAGAATTAAATACAGCTACATATTGTTAACAAGATTTTACTTCTTCATGTAAAGTTAAAATTGCAACAGCAGAAAAGAATTTTAAATGCAAAGCGACAATTGAAAACAAAAGTTGAAAGATGATCTCAGGTGTTATATCCCCATTTTGTGCTTCTATAAAGACTGAATTTTTTCTTTGATAACACAATGGAGAAGGAACAAACAGAAATTGTAGAAACACAAAACCAAAGGTTGGATTTTTTCTTGCCAATTTTATGTTCGTTTACAGCCTAAAGACTGAAAATTTAGCTTCGACAAACACACAAATATGTAATTTACCTGAATCGCGGAGGAAACAATAGAAACCCAACAATACTTGAGAATATTAGAGGGTAAATGGATCAAGAGTTAAACCAGGGGAAAAGAGAAGAGCTTTTCAAACTAATAAGCACTGCAAACATCGATTGTGTTACTGGAGAACGTTTGGTGATAGATTATGAATAAAGCAGAAGGAATTTTTGGTAACAGGTGGTGAGGAAAGCAGTAGGAAGAATGTAGCTAATTCCAAACGAAAAGTGACCAGAAAAGGCAAAAGATAAAGGCAAATTTTCAGATAGATTAGCACCAAAATAACCTCCAGCTGTCAAAGGGAAAAGTGCACGTGCTCTGCTGTTAATACACTGACTCAGCAACAGAGGCAAAGCCCACACATTTATTTACCTATATAACTGGCCCTTTTAATGCCCACGAAGTTTCCTTTATTTTCTAAAAGTCACTTATGGCATTCAACGTAATAAAATAGAAAAATAGTGGCAAAAATATAGCAGCCTAAGCTGGCATGTCGGCGAAGTGATGTCTGCCTCAGCTGCTTCCCACTTCTAATATAAATATATATATATATATATATATATATATATATATATATATGTCACTTATGGCATTCAACGTAATAAAGTAGAAAATAGTGGCAAAAATATAGCAATCTAAGCTGGCATGTCGACGAAGTGATATCTGCCTCAGGTGCTTCACTCCCACTTCTGATATAAGCTGGCATGTCGACGAAGTGATATCTGCCTCAGGTGCTTCACTCCCACTTTTAATATAGTAGAATATTACTCTCATGTCATTTCTAGTCATTTTTCTGTTCACTTTATTTTCTTTGTTTGAATACAATAAAAACTACTGATTTCATAAGTTTAATCAGCTTTAAAAAAAAAAAACTATCTACAAAGTGAATTTTGGTTATTTCTTTCTTAATTTTTTTAAACATGCAAGTATATAGATTAAAATCATTTATACTCTGTTAGTTTAATTTAATTATTAATTCTTAATTGTTTTATACTAAATATTCTGCTTTGGTGTATCTTTTCTCACTAGTTATTGGTTTAGCAATTTAATTCTATTTTTTTCTGCAAATAACAACTTCTTAGTAATAACAGAATATTTAAATATCTTAGGGTTAATAAATTTTTGTTAAATTAAATAGAAAGTAGAGAAATTTGTTGTACCTTTTTAAAAATATTTTTAACTTTGTCAAAATTTTAGAGTGCCAACTTTAAAATGGATTCATTTTGAGATTTTGTTAAGAACAAAAAGAAAAAAGTTATCGAATCATGGCTTGTCATAATCGACAACGCTTATACTATTAGCTATCGTCATCATTTATTGAACCAGCTTGTGGAAAATTTTGGGTCCGCTACTTATTGCACCTACAGTAAAAATTACTATGGTTAGGTGATAAATTAATATGAAAAAATATATAACTTAGTTATAATTTAGTGATAAGTATGTTTGTGAGATATGTGCCATGTATACGTTTATTTGTCTGGTGTAAATACCTTATTGCAAATAAATCATTTTCTTGCACCTACCTTCCCAGCTACCCAGCAAGTGCCAACCCCTCAGATTATCAATGACCGAAGAGAAACCAAAAAGAAAATGCAAGAAACGATCAGAAGTTCCTTACAAGGAGACTCAAATAAGAATCAGCTAAATGATTAAATGAATGAAAAGTAATCAAAATTGAGAAGATATTCATTTCTTAATTTTAAAATGTATACGGGTAAACTCGGGGTCAGCACACATCCGGAGTACTCGGTGAGTCAAACAAAGTAAAAAGTATGAACGTGTGAGATAGTGCCCCTGCCAGCCTCGATCTCGATCCTCATCGATGCTCGAAAAGGGAGCCTTGCTCCCGGCGAGTGAGCTTGATTAGTCCCCTCGAAAAATTTGGGGACTGTATAGACGTAGTAGGTGGTGGAGGGTGAACCAAGGAGATTCAGTGTTGTTCACAAAATAACATAGGAGGATCACGATCCTCCAAAAAGACGGGTGGATTTGCCTAAGGCACACCTCGTATCTCATGCAAAAGGCCGAAACTACCGGGTCTACCGGGCCCATCGTGAAGGGGTAAGTGTAAACGACTATATACCCCTCCACATAAGTGGTAATATCGTCCTCAAACCCGGGGACTACCACGTCCTTACCTCCCCATTTACAGTCCTCTCGGACTTTAGGAATGTTATCTTCGGTAATGGAGTATATATATCTCGATTCCCCTTCACCTCGGTCTTGTTTGGACGAGGCCTTCTCGATTTTAAAGTCATCTGCGATTGAACAGCCCCCGGGAATAAAGCTTTTTGTGGGGGGGCTCTGGGGCTGCTTCGATAGCAGCCACTTCGGGAGCAACCACCTCGGGAGAAGCCGTCTCGAGAGAAATCACCTCGGGAATGGCCGCCTCGGTACGTGTGACCGGATGGGAAGATGAAGAGGCATCCTGCTGAGGAACTGATTTGAAAGTCTTAGCCATCGTGATCTGGAAAATAAGAAGATTTGAAGGGAAGATATGTGGGTTTGAAGAAAAAAATATGAAGGTTTGAAGGAAAGATATGAAGGTTTGAAGGAAAAAGTATGAAGGTTTGAAGGTAGGATGAAGATTTGGGTAGAAACCTCAGAATAGTTATGAAGATTTGAAGATCAAAGGTAAAAGGATGAAGATTTGAAAGAGTTGATTGCCGCTAGAGAGTTTAAAGATAAAGGTTAGGATTTGAAAGTGGAAGAAGTATAAAAGGTCGAAGCTTTTATAAGAGAAAATGTAATCAATATGCGACGTTTCACATTCGGAGGCGGCCAACCGACTGATGAGACATTTCGGCTTATTCGTCGTCTCGGTTGTAATGCATGAAGGAAGGAACCGAGGCTTATCTATCGTTTCCCATCGTTTCGGCAAAGTAACTCTATGAGAAACGAGGGGACAGTCTGTATACGAGTAAACTCGGGGTTAGCACACACCTCGAGTTCTCAGTAAGTCAAACGAAGTAAGAAGTATGAATGTGTGAGATAGAAACCGAATTTGAGAACTCTTTGAATCGAGACTGGAACAGGGTGCTCGCCACCGGGCCTGACAAGACAACACCCCCAAACCCGGAACGAGCTCCAAAGCCCCGAAGAGCACTACAAATGGCTGCACGCAAGTAACAAATGGCCGTGATATCCGCACCCAACCAAATATCATGGCTCGGATCTCACGCGATGTTGGTAGCGTATCAGTGGTTGATGTACAAGGAGAATTTTTACCTTTTTTAGAATTGTATTAGGGGGAATATTCCCCTACTATATAAAGGGGAAATCTCTTATTCAATAGACACATTGTAACACGCATATCAAGGCAATACAAACTTATTTTTGAGAAATTTTCTAGCTATTGAAAGGTTTTTATTTTAATCATAGTCATTCATACACATTTGGCTTCGAATTGAGGATTCGGTCAAGGACAAAACTATTGTTAAGCTCAAATCCAAGCCTGGACTCAATATCACAACTGGTTTGGCTATTTATTTATCTTTAATTCGTTTATCTATCATTCTTGATTACTTGTGTTGAATCAATTTACATATTTTTAAAATTGCGTACAAATTTAATTGTTATTCGTTTTAAGGGTAAAAAAAGAACTATTCTCAAAAAGTCAAAATCATTCACTTGTAAGCTATATATATATTTTGCTAAAACTTGTAAGCTATATGAACGTGTGACATGCGGCACTCGTACGTCTTCACGATAGTTTGAGTTTTCTAATTTTAAAGTTTATATTTTTTATTGGAAAACAAAATCATAGCCCTCCATATTCATATTGGGATAGCCGGATGCATGTTATATATCATCCTATTTTATTCGTCCTTCTCGAGTGGATCACAATGGATAATATCAATATTTTGAATTTGACATTTGAAGGGAGAGAACTCTGTTGTTTAACAGAAAAACATTATGGGAATTAAATTTAATGAGCAAGCAAATTCAAACGCCAAGATCCAGCATTCATGGCACGTAAAATATGTAAATGCAACATGACTTAAAATATATATCCATCTAAATAATTGCTAATAAATTATTACTACTAGTTATTAACTAAATTATCACTAGGATTAAATTATGCGTGAGAATATTTTTATTTCTAGTTGAGAGGAGTAGACCAGCAAATGAAATATTCATTTTTATTGTTTCCTTGCGCGTAGAAAAATGTATTTAAAATAGTATCCTAAAGCTTGAAAGCTAATAAATTTCAATTAAGGGCCTGTTAAGGAAGATGCGAGCTGACAAAATGCTTCGATTATAATTTATTTATGTATTATCAGACGAATCACATGGAAAATAAAAAAATGTAGTATTAACTAGTACTCCTACTAAAGTAATAAATAAAAGAGTCCTTGCTGTGAACTTCAAACTCCCTTTTATACACACGAAAGCTAACCAATATATATATATATATATCTGAAAAGTTGAATGGAATTCATAGAGGGAAAAACATTCTATAACAAATGGCAAAGTCAATACTATTATTACTCATGCTTATGGCTTCATCGTATTTTACAGCTATAGCAAATTCACAGGTTAAGAATATCTTCTTGCTAGCCGGACAGAGCAACATGTCCGGCCAAGGAGGCGTTGTGAAGAACAAATGGGACGGTATCGTTCCGCCGGAGTGTAGCCCTAATCCGGCCATCCTCAAACTTGATGCCAATCTGCAATGGGTAGAAGCAACAGAACCTTTACATGCAGATATCGACGTGAATGTTACTTGTGGAATTGGTCCAGGTATGTAGAGTCAGATTTGGAACGATTTTAATGGGTTAAACTAAACCGATTACTTTTGGCGGAAACAATATGTATTAGGGTTTCAAATGGAATTAAAAGTTGGGTCAAACTTAGGCAGGTTGAAGTATGATCAATGATCCAACATGTCCAAAGTTTGTTTCGGTCTAAATGAGTTAAATGAGTTGGATTAAGATGAGTCAAATAACTAGCCATAGCTTGACCCGTCTAACTTAATCCAACCTCCCCTCATTCTTTCTTTTATTTTTTGAAAAAAAAAAGGTGAAGGTTAATGATTTTTTTTTTTGGGCAAAAATTATTAGCTTAAATTCTTCCAAATTTGCATCTCTCTCAATATCCAAATCTGATTACGCATGTTTGAATTTGCGTGGCACTTGCATCCAATATATAGCTTGATGTCTCATTTTAAATTAACCATTGGGACAACTTAACAAACAGTCATAATCAAATCCATTTAAACTAGGAGAGGTTGGATACAACGGCAGATCTACCTTACGACCTACATGTTCACGTAAATCTAGTAATTTTTATCCAAATAGTGTAAATGCGTTCGAAAAATCTACTAATATCAATAAATCTTTGAATGTGAACCCAACAACTATTGAATATTTACTCGAGGTCGTTGCAGGAACCCATAAACATTAAATTCTAGATCCGTCTCTAGTTGGACAGATACACTAAAAACTATGTTGATTTTGTCACCTCTAATATTAAGTACGTACGCAAATAATGTTTTACGCTTATGTATATGTATAGATAAATTAGACTCATTTTGAACTCACTTACTATTGTTTGACCCAAAAGATACCGAAACATTTTTGAACAAATCAATCAAAGAAAATGAAGGGGTAAATCTCAGCTAAGTATAATAATCTCTAGAATGAAAGATAGATGAGGTGAATACAGATGATAAAAATTCCTTATCTTGTTTAGAACAGAAAGAACNATATATATATATATAAGGAACCCAACTTTACTGAGCTCTAAAAGACAAGCCATGGGGAATATTCGAGAGAATATTCCCGATGTCCCCTAATGGGCCTGCATTACTGCAAGGGCCGTACCGTTTCTTGCTCGCCTTAAGGTCGTCCTCTGCAAAATGTCGACCTGTGTGGATCTCGTCGTTCGTCGTGCTTATCAACGGTCATGTTTGTCCAAATTTGGACCCATACAGTTAGTCCCTCCGCTTGTTGGGGTTGCAACTTGGTGCGTCCTCGATGAGCGGACACCGTGCGTTCTTACGGAGAAATTTGACCCTACAAAGCGTTACGGCCTGGCCAATGGTAGGCGTTCAGCGTGCTTAGCAAGACACCAATTAATGCATTTTACCGGGAAATGAAATCATCTTCACGTGCGTCATCATTACGTGTGTTTTTGAGGTGGGGGATTGATGGCTTGTCGCTTCGATTTTGGTGCAACTCTGTGGCCTTCCTCTTCGATTCTGGCGCTACCCAATCCTATAAATAGGTGGAGGGTTTGTTTTTTTTTTAAAATTCTTAGCCGTTTCATTTCTGATTATCCCTCCTTATTTCTCCGAGTTTGCCTTAACACCCTTCTTTATCTTCCTCTCACACCCTTCGTTCTCAGCCTCTTCTTCTTCCTTTTTTTTGTGTCACTGCCTTTTTTAACGAAAGCATGCCAAGATCATATCGATCTCGTGAAGGGGTTTCTGAAGCCGCCCCGTTGTCCATGGCACCCTCTTCAAGTGGTGAGGGTATGGCTGTAGAAGAAGGTGACAGTCTTCCTACGGTGGAGGAGTTACTGCCTAGACACCCCATGTCTCGAAGTGACTTCCTCAAAGATCCCCCTTCCACTCCTACCCCCGTATTTTCTGAGATGGAGCAAGTTCACATTGATGCACTTCGTGCAAAGTACGTCATTCCCGCTCATGTTGACATGGTTCCAGCGGGGAGGGATTTCGTAGAGGTCCGCAGACCCGGGTACTGCACTTTCTACTACAAGTACTCTTTCATGATTGGTTACTCTTTTTCCCTCCTCCCATTAGTGAAAGAGTTCTGTAGGTTCTACCAAGTTTGTCCGGCACAACTTTCACCATATACGCTCAAGATACTTCTGTTGCTGACCAAGTATACGGAGTTGGCGGAATGCGATGTTTCTATCCACCACCTTCTACACCTATTCTCGCCCAACTTCCACAAGGGTACTATGGTGCATCTGAGGCACCGTGGCACAAAAAGGCTGGTAGTTGGGACTGACAACCGAGCAAGTCGTAAGTTTTGGCATAAGTACTTCTTTGTCAAAACTGAACACATCGTTTCTGACTCCGCCAGGTTCCCGGAGCGGTGGAACGAAACTCATAAGTGTCACTATTCATTCTACTCTTTCTTCATCTATATTCATTATAATGTTTTTTCGCTTCTTGTTGGCAGTTATGGGACGTCCGCCCTGCCCTATTGCTGGCATAAGGGATTGGGTAGCCCGTCTGTTGCCCCATGTAGCGAAAACCCGAGATTGGTCTGCCTTTATAAAGCGTTATGGCCCTAGAGTTCCATCCGGTAAATGTTTTCCCCTTTACCACTTTGTTGGATATATATCATCGTCTATTGATACGACTCTTCGTGATGACAAGTCGAGGAGCTTTCAGGCGGAGGGCGCCAGTCCCTGCATTCTGACTGCTCGTTGCTGCCGCAGGAATGCAGTTTACTTTAAATGAATTTGTTCGAGAGGGTCATCCTCAACCAATTCAAGTAGAGGGTCCCTCTCGGGTCATAGTCATGAGGGAGGAGGCTTCTTCAATACCGGCCCCACACCCTTTGGACGAATCCTCTAACGGGGATGAGTCGTTGTCGAGAAAGAGAAGGAGAATGGAGCTTGGGAATGATGTGGCCATGGACGCTAATAGAAGCAGGGCATCACAGACGGCACCTGTACCCACGTTTATGGCCGACGCCATTTTAGCGGGGAGATCTCCTCAAACGGAAGGAGTTTATCCAGGGGTCGGCTCCGTGTGCTTCGCTGAGGGCGGCGCATCGTCCAACGTTGGAGGCCGTCGTGTTGTGGGCAAAGGCTCAGATTCAGATGTCGACCCAAAGGACGTTCGCGAGTTTGTAGGTCGCCATACTCACATGGAGGTCAGAGCGGAAGGATCTGATTGTCACATAGTCATCCCGGGGGACTACAACTTGTTATTGAACTGCGATCAGGTGACGTCTGCTTCGGCCACTCTATGCGCTGCCCCGGAAAATGAAGTGCTTAGGGTGATGAGTGACATGGAGTTGTCCTAGAGCGTTACCGGTATGACCTTTGGGTATGTGCCTTTCTTTTCCTATTTGTCGTTGGTCTTGTGTTGTGATTGTCGACCTGTATTTTTGTTTTTAACTTCTCTCTTTTTTTGTGCCAGACCCTTATCATAGAGACCGAGCGCGAGCGTCAGGAAAGGAAGAGGACAACTGTCTATGGGAAGATGTCTTCCAAGTATCAACAGTACCGCACTAAGCATCGTGCAATGGATGATATTTATAATTAGGACCCTGACTTTCAGTTGTTCCGCGAAGGACTCAAACAGAGGGAGGACTAACTGGCGTGCAAGGTCGAAGAGCTGATGGAGCGAGATGAGGAGCTCATGAAGGCTGTCGCCCGCAATAGTGAACTTGAGGCCTCCCTTAAGGTGAAAGAGGATGAGCTAGAGTTAAGCAGGGGGTGATGGCCAAGAATGCCGACTTACAAGCGAATGTGGCCAGTTTGACCGCTGAATTGAATGCGAAGGATGTGGAGATTGAGGGGCTTAAGGGTGAACTGAACGTCGGTGCTGATAAACTGGCGGCGACTATTTCTGGCACGACAGCCTTGGAGTATACCCTTCGTGTTTGTAGGTCGGAGCTGACCGAGGACAAGGAGGCCTCTAAGATTAAGGTCACGAGGCTTAAAAGGCGTATTAAAGAGTTAGAGGCGGATCTATCTGTGTTGAATGGACAAGTGGCCTCGCTGGGAGCGGATGATGCAAGTCAGCACTCTCAACCTTCTTCGTCTCGTGCCTTGGACGATCTGGTTGTGCCTCGTCGCTTATATGAGTTGTGGGTCCTTGCTGAGGCCCGACTTGACATGTACAAGGCTTTTCATGCCGAGGGGAGAGCAACTGAAGCATAGCTTCGGGTTATGTATACCGAAGCTCGCGCAGCTCGGGAGGCGTGCATGTACGGCCCTCTTACTCCTGATGGGGATGACATCAACTCCGATGATGCAAATCGTCTTGCTTCTAACTCTTGGTACGAAGACGCGTACCCCACCGGGGATGGCGTGTGACCTTTTGTTTGGGACTTTTGTAAGGGGCGTGCTTGAGCCCGTTGTAAATATTGGTGTAACATTTTGATGTAATGTAAAATTTGTTCTATCGGTTTGGTGATGATATTTGCGATATCTATGGCATCCGGGGTACCTATCGAACTGTTAAGCCGATTTAGCCTTTGGGTGAGGTCTATTCCTTTTTCTTTTGTCCATGGCTTTAGCCTCTAGGATGCTATTTTCGATCGATCGTCGAAGTGGGATCCTGTCGTAGTTCGAACGAGGTTGAACTCGTATTTTCATCGATGGCCTTAGCCATTGGGATGTTGCTTTGAACTGTTGTCGAAGTAGGATCCCATCGTAGTTCGAATGAGGTCGAACTGATATATTTGTCGATGGCCTTGGCCATTAGGATGTTGCTTTGAACTGTCGTCGAAGTAGAATCCCGTCATAGTTTAAATGAGGTCGAACTGATATATTCGTAGATGGCCTTGGCCAATGGGATGTTTCTTCGAACTGTCGTCGAAGTAGGATCCCATTGTAGTTCGAACGAGGTCGAACTGATATATTCGTCGATGGCCTTGGCCATTGGGATGTTGCTTCAAACTGTCGTTGAAGTAGGATCCCGTCGTAGTTTGAACGAGGTCGAACTGATATATTCATCGATGGCCTTGGCCATTGGGATGTTGCTTCAAACTGTCGTTGAAGTAGGATCCCGTCGTAGTTTGAACGAGGTCGAA